AGTTTCCAAACATTTATTTGTAATTGAGGACTATCAGGACATCGTTACACAACCATGGCGGATGTACGCTCCCTAAATGAGGGAAAAACGTTTTTCAGAATACGAAGGAAACATTTTTCATGAAATTCAAGAAACGAAAAGTGATCTTACTGTCTAAAGAGTTGTGAGAAGAGAAGAACAAACTGTTGTTTAACCGGAAACCAAGAAAGAACTTTGCATTGGTTCACCTGGGGTAGAATGTGGAAAACGTCTATTGTAAAAGGGTAAGATAAGCGACCATTGGATGACATTCCGACACAATTTTTATTGTTGATTAAAAGATTACATTCTGGTGGCGAGCACTTGGTTGTATCAGTTGAGGCCCGTAAAAAAGAAGCGTCTGTATCCCAGACGGTGATATCGCCGGCTCACATCGCAATTCTTGATGATGCTGCATCGGATAAGTGATTTATATAGATAAGGAAGAGGAGAAGGCATACAATTGGTCCTTGGGGAACACCGGTTGTGATTAGGCTGGGCTGTGATGAAGATTTCTTAACCTGCGCGGCAAATGAACAATTCGAGAGGAAGCTACGAATCAGCGCTAGAAGGGGTTTTACCCTCTCGTGTGCTGCAAATTCATGGATGTGTGGGATCTTGTCAAATGCCTTCACGAAGCCAATGAAAGCAAAATAAGAGATCTTTCCGGATTCGTTGACTTTGTTCAGACTATCCATAGCAGTCAGAATATTGGTGATGCAGGACCTGCCAGGTAGAAATCCTTGCTGGAAACGAGGAAGGTTAGTGAGCTGAATATGGTTCATGATTTCACCTTTAGAAGTTGCTCAAAGGTTTTCCTGGGGATGCTGGTAAGGGACATGGAACGGTGGCTATCAGGGGAGTGGTCGCCGCCTTATTTGTAAATGGAGCAAATAACAGCTTCTTCACAGATAGTGGGAAGGATTCCCTGGTGTATACTGTATTGGAAGAGAAGAGTGTACGGGGCAGTTGGTACACCAGCTAACTCCACCAGTACTCTGGGATGCATATTGTCAAGGTCCCATGAAGCAGTATGCATGCATGCTCCGGAGCCTCCTTTCAACCTTATCTTGTGAGAAAAGGATGGAGCCAATGGTGAGTTTGTATCTAGCGGCTGCAGAACGGGTTGAACCTACCCGTGGGTTACCTAATTATGTAAAGGAGATGGATCCTCCAAAGATGTGTTGAACAGTTTTTCCATTTTATGGTGCAGGGAGAATCTTAATGCGTGTATGCATGTCTGGAAGAAAAATAAACAAAGATTGATTCTCCGAGTGTTCCCTGGAGTGGTCACTTTTGAATGCATGTGTAAATGCTCAACAGGAGTGATTATTGATGAAATTTAATAAAAGTATGAATGTATGTAGGTGTGAATGTTGGACCAACGTGCAGCAGATGCAAGGTGTTTGTTCTGGAGTCAGATTCGTAAAGTGGAAAAATTCTACAACATCTCAGTAACAGAGTGTCGTATGGATGAATAACAACACTGAGACAAGAAGCAACGCTAACCTCACCCTAAGCCATCTAGGCTATTGGTTACAAAAAGTAAGCCCTGTAGAATGCAAGGTGCAAGATGTACAAAGCGGCAAGAGATTGCCAATCGACAAATACGAATAAAAAATGTCCTGCAATCCTTGTGTTTTTCACAATGAGAATAATAACGTTCCTCAGCTCTATAGTGTGGACAAAACAAAATAAACTGAATACGATAAAAGTAACGCAAAACAAATGAACCAATAATTAGGAGCGCCTTTGACAGGCGGAAAATCTGTTTTTTGTTTTTGCATATATATTTAGTTCAGTTCAGTTCAGTTTGCACAGGACAGTAGTAGCCGAGACCAATCGCGCGTCCAGATAGTTGTGTTGTCAGCTAGTCTCCTTGGCTTCCAAC